CTCATCATTAGGCCTTGTTCTATTAATCAATAATGGGTGAGCCGGGCTCGGTGGCTCAGCCTGTAATCCTGTGCCTTGGGAGGCTGAGGTGAGTGAATTGCCTGAGCCCGCGGGTTCGAGACCCGCCTAGGCAACTTGGCGAGACCTCATCTCTACAATAAATCAAAAAATCAACCGGGTGTGGTAGCGTGCCCCTGTGGTTCTGGTTACTCGGAAGGCTGAGGTGGAAGGATTGCTGGAGCCCAGCAGGTCGAGGCTGCGGTGGCCAGGAGCAGCCACTGCACTCCAGTCTGGGTGACAGAGTGAGACTCCAACTCAAAAAAACCCAAAAAACAAAAAACCAAAAAACAATAATGGGTGATTAAGAATCGATTTATTAATAATAAAATTTATCAACAACTTTAAACCGAATTCAAGAGGAAAAAGTGAGGATGGGATCATCCAACTCATGGAAAAGAGTCTCTTTACCAACACTGGACGATTATTATCACAGTCAAGTCCTTTGGGCCATTCACATGCAAGGCCATTCAGCAGCTATTCTACAGCAAACTGAAACGAGGTATTCACACTGGGAGGTGGGAGCAGAAGAAAGGTTTTAAAATGTCCATGAGGCATAACTGTAGTTGGTAACTAAAGCATATTAAGGCTTTATGTGCAGGCTTGTGAGGAACAGAATTACCCTTTTTGCAGCAAGGACTTTGAGCCAATTTCTAAGAGGCAGAACTACAATTCAGAACAGTTCATCTAGTTTCTAATCAAAGGACAAATTCCATTTTATTTAAATTCATCCACCAAGATTAAAATTAGAATAAGTAACAACGAATCAAAAATGTATGCATTTAAAAATGCTTAAGAGTATTTTTTTCTTCACAACAACTTTTCAGGTGAGTGTTTTTAAAACTGAGTGGTGGGGATAAAGCATAGAAACCCTATACAATTGATTTTCTCAATGATGAATAACTTAACTACACATTTTAAAAAGGACTTCCTTGAGCTTTGCTAATAAAAAAAAAATGAAGTAGTTCTCAATATCCCTGACAGTAAGTGCACCAAGTTAGGAAGTATTTAGAATGAGCAAAAAGACAAAACAACAACAACAACAACAAAAACGAGTTATCTCCCTACCTCTAGTTGCATTAACAGCCTTGCTGTTCTGGATTCTGGGAACTCCTTTCAGTCTTACAGGCCCCATGTGGTTAACAGAAGGTCTATAAACTTAATGCCAAGAGTAACTTAATTCCTTCTTTTTTTCTTTGGTATATTGACAGAATACCAGAGATGAATTTTCTAGCCTAACCAAGGGCTCTAAAGAGTACTGAGAAGGCAAAAGAAAGCACTAGCATGGACAAGGGAGATGAGCAATGACCCAAGCACTGCAGAAGGGAGGCTATATAATTTAAGAAACTGGGCTTTTATTAAGGAAGCATGATGAGAGGTTTATATTGTGAAAGCTTGACAAAATACAAAAGCTCTCAGGTCCTTCTTTGTCTAGCTGAGTAGCACACAATTCTGTATATTCTAAAAGCACCAACAGCAGAAAAAATAAAGATTTTCTGACAAAAAAATTAAGTGGTAGACTTAAGTCTAGAGCTTATGATTAATCCTGAAGAAATGCAGTGATTTTTTAAATTCAAAGGTAAATTTTTACTGGCTCCTTGGTTGTAGTTACAGGAAAATTTGAAGATCCTGAGATTTGAAAATGTTCCCTGGGTGTCCACCCAGGTGGTTATCTGACCTGAGGAAAGAGATCTTTATTTATCCATGTACACAATGTGTATTTGTAAGCAATAGTATTGATACAATTGTCAAAGTCACACATGGAAATCAACCTTACTAGTCAATAATTAGCTCTATGCACACTGGGGAGATGGACAAGTTTGGCACCAAACCTGGCAAACTAAACTCTAACACTTAAAAGATGTTTAAAGCAGACTCAGGGTAACACATCCTGGCTCATGAAACTTGGTTATGTTTGTATAGTTTCAGGATATTTCCCTCAAAAATTAACTGGAACCTAAAATTTAATCTAAGCTATATTTTAAAAAATTGATATTAAATTTTCACAACACCTAGTTTATTATAAGAATAATGAAAATTTAATGTGTATATTTGGCTTAATTTTTTCAGCTTATATATTATCAGTTTACATAGTATTTATTTTTAGAAACAACAAGAAAATGTTATACTGTTTATCACACTACTCTTGTAATGACCCTGCATGTTAAGCTATTGGTTCATCCCTACATTAATATGATATTTAAGCAAGGTTACTAAATATAATAGATGATTATTAGCAGACATGGAAACTAATAAATGTCACAAAGCTCAAGAAAAATATTCTGATAAATTTGTTGTTTATTTTCTCTGACTTTGACAACTATTTTTTATGACTTATACAGACAGCGAATCTTCATATGTAGTTTAAGGCAGCTTTTTATTATCAACACAACTTCTTTATTTAAAATATGCTCAATCAATCGCTGCCATCTTGTATTTTTGACAATATGAAGAAGATGCAGCAGTAATACATATAACCAATTCTTTTTCCTGGGCATTTTTGCCTATTTACAGTAAATATGGCAATAAGTAACTAAATGCTTCAGCCATAATTTAGACAAATATCTAAGCCTTTGCCTTAGGAATACTAAGTCGTGGAAGAGTTTTTAATACCTTTAACAACCTCAAAATACTGAGTTCTTGAAAAAATGTGGTTCAGTAAACTATGTAACTAAGTACAATCATGCACTGTAGCAGGATGTTTCAGTCAATGAAAGACTGCAAATATGGTGGTTCCATAAGATTACAATGAAACTGAAAAATTCCTACCACCTGGTGACATTGTAGCTGTCATAATGTCACACCACAACAGATTACATATTTTTGGAGATGCTGGTGTCAAATAACCTACTGTACTGTCAGCTATAAAAGTATGACATGTACAATTAAGTACAGTACATAATACCTGACAATGATAATAAATGATTATGTCGCTGGTTTACATATTTCCTATATTATGCTTTTTATTGCTATTTTAGAATGTACTCCTTCAATTTAAAAAATGTTAACTGTGAAACAACCTTAGGCAGGACCTTCAGAAGATATTCCAGAAGGCACTGTCATCATACAAGATGACAGTTTCATCCTGTGTTATTGCCCCTGAAGATCTTCCGGTGGACAGGTGTGGAGGTGAAAAACAGTGAGCGATACTGGTGATCCTGACCCTGCGTAGGACTAGGCTACGTGTGTGTTTGTGTCTTGGTTTTTATCACAAAAGTTTAAAATGTTAAACAAATACAAATACAAAGAAATAAAATATTTTTGTACTGCTGTGCAGTGTGCTTGTTTTAAACTAAGTGTGATTACAAAAGAGTCAAAAAGTTTAAAAAATTGAATAGTGTGTCTAGTAAAAAATTTACAGTAAGCTAAGGTTAATTTATTATTGAAGGAAAAAAATTAAAAAATTTAGTGTAGCCTATGTGTACAGTGTTTATGAAGTCTACAGTAGTACACAGTATGGTCTAGTCCTTCACATTCACTCACCACTCATTCACTGACTCACCCAAAGCAACTTCCAGTCCTGCAAAGCTCCAGTCATGGTAATTGATTTATATGGGGGAGGGGGTACCATTTTTATTTCTTATACTGTAGTTTTACTGAAACTTTTAATATATGTTTAGATACACAAATACTTCCATTGTGTTACAATTGTCTACAGTATTCAGTACAGTAATAGGCAATATAGGTTCGTAGTCTAGGTGCAATAGGCTATACCTCATAACCTAGGTATGTAGGAGACTATATCATCTAGGTTTGTGTAAGTATACTCTCTGTTGTTAGTACAATGACAAAATCACTGATAATACGTTTCTCAGAACGTATCTCTTTTCTTAAGCGACACATGACTGTAAATGAAGTAGGAAGTGAAGGGTCAAGTTGCTAACATAACAAACCCAGCTTATCTGATCATGGTTAGTGGACTTCAGATGTATTAATATGATAGGTTAAGCAGCAATATATATATATGTATATATATACATTCATATATGTGTGTGTATATACACAAATATAATGAGTTTTACTTTTTAATATCACACACTATTAATTGTAGTTCAATAAAAGTCATCTTTGGACTTTGTATATATATATACTTTACAAGTATAATAACTCTGAAGTAGAAATGAACAGTTATTTTCTACTTTTTGAAGTTATGTTATTTTAAGATTTCATTATACATCTATGAAGATATGCTATTTCATTAGACATAAACCAGATGTATATAAATGTTAGCCAAACATATAGATGTGATCGTATCAACATATTGTTATTTATTTCTATTTTTAAATACTATCATTTTTCTTTTACAGCTGAGACTACTAAAGTTCAAAGACATTAACTGATTTACTTAATTTTTATAGTGGGTAATCAGTGAAGCCAGATTGAAACTGAAGCAGCTGCTGGCTCATGTTACAATGCTCTTTCCACTGAAGCATGTATCATGTGTTCAAGGTTTTGGTTTCACTTGTTAAAGTTTGACTTGAGTATACAAGGGGACTTGCTATTATGATGGAACTTTGGAGGTTTTTCACAGATCATATTTTCCTACCCCATCATTTTGCATAAAAGACAAGTGAAGGCCAGTCAGGTGGAGTAACTTGAGAAAGTACATTGAGATAATGACAGGGCTGTAACTGTAACGCCGCCCTTTTTTAGATGGCTACTTGAGATGAAGACATTTTATCTAGAAGATCACAGTTTAGTCCAGGAGACAATAATTATAAGGATATCTCAGTGAGTATCTACACACATTTTCCTCTGGGTATCATAAAAGTAGATTTAATTGAAATGCATTTAACTTCTTTTAGAATATATTTTTATAATTACCTTATTAAAACTCTCAAACCAAAAACAGCACATTGATAACCAGATATCCTAATGTGTTTCAGTCAGATGAGAAAAATGTGACACAACAAGGAATAGACTTGCAGGAAAGTTGTGCTTACCTTCATAAGTCCCACTTTCTAGGAGAGCACCACTTTTCTCCAATTCCATAAAATCTTCAACAGTGATGAAAATATAGTCCACTCCAGGGACTTCACCCTCCTTATGTGGCCTTGTGGTGCCTGAATAAGGAAAAGGAAAAACAAAGGAAAAACTAAGTGATTTGTGGTTGAACTTTAGAAATACCACCCTACTTCTGAATATTCAATACCACTTGTTTGACATCCTGCGAGTTGGCAGTTTGCATTTGTCCTTCTGTTTGTTTGGCAACAGAAAACAGCAGGGGGTCAAGATTAAAGTAAATGTACAAAGCACTTTTCTTCATCAGGCTTAGAAAGAGTTCATTGCTGTAGGATAGGGCTGCAAATATTCATCAGTGAAAAATGCAGATCATTGTGCCCTTTTGAAGAGGTGGCTTGAATTTGGGGCCAGTAGTCTGCTAGCTCAGGACTTTATGTTTCACTCCCATGAATGGACCTCTATTGTTCTGTAGACTGCTGTGCTATGACATAGAACACAGTGAAAAGTAGAAATCTTAGCAAAATGTCAACTTATCTTTCTATGTTCATAATCTGCCTTCTTTGGGGTGCACTGTTGGTTTTCAGTAGTTACATTTGCAACAAGAAAACACACGTCTATTACATGTAAAGGATCACAAAACCTTCACTAAAATGTAAAATTAAATAATTAGAATTGAGTAATAATGAAAGTTGCATTAGTAGTTGACCTGGCAATATAATATCTAATTTGATAGAAGGAAACTTCCTGTGACTCTATCACAGGGTTTCGCTTTCACAGCCTGTCCTCCCTCATTACTGCCTCGAATTCTGACTGAGTCGCAAAGCGACACGCTCTCAGGGGTTTCTGTAGGGGGCCACTGCCTCTGTTTCCTATATCACCCATAGAGGGAACAGAGCTCCGCAGGGCCAAGGTGACAGGAACATCAGCTGCTCGGTCTGTGGCTCATCCAGCTCTCCTAGAGAACACAGTCTTCCAGGCAGCCTGGCCAGTTGGCCAAGCAGGAGCAAAAATAGAGACGTATTCAAGTCTGCAGGTTTGTTTTCTGGTAATACTTCCTTCCCGGAACATGCCCTAAGCCTCTTCCTTTCTTTTTCTATGCCTCCTACCTAAGGCATTTTGTATGGTCAGATTGGAATTTACATAATGCATACATGCAAATAAGTATGCAGAAATATACAGAGGCCAAATATAAGCAAGGTAGTACATTGGCAGGCTTCTTCATACTTAAAACTCCTCCATGTTGTTTATATACTAAAACAAGTATTTTAAATCCTTAAATTTTATTTTTGCTCCCTGAATTTGAAATATTTATCAACTAGGTCATGAAAATAGCTAGTCAGTTCTCCTTTGGGTATTAGGATCAAATCTGGACTGCAAATGAGAAGCAGACGCTAATATCAGAGTGTACAATGTGCTAGAGAAATTGATTTGGGGTAAAAATGAATAATTACTATTGAAAACATTTTTTTTTTTTTTTTGAGTTGGAGTCTCACTCGGTTGCCCAGACTGGAGTGCAGTGGCCGCTTCTGGCCACTGCAGCCTCGCCTGCTGGGCTCCGGCAATCCTTCCGCCTCAGCCTTCCAAGTAGCCGAAATTACAGGCATGCGCTACCACGCCCGGCTGATTTTTTTGATTTATTGTGGAGATGAGGTCTCGCTGCCCAGGCGGGTCTTGAACCCGCGGGCTCAGGCAATCCACTCACCTCAGCCTCCCAAAGGCGCGGGATTACAGGCTGAGCCACCGAGCCCGGCTTGAAAACATTTTTTAAGATGTGAAGGCATTATTTTCTAAAATTAAGTTTTACAATCCTTCTTTGGGGGGTTGCAAAACAATTTTTTTCCATAATTGTGTTTAATGACTTTCCCCTGAATTTGTTTATTTTATTGTGTTTAACTGAGCCACTTTTTGCAATATTTCTTACTGCTTTCATGCTATAAAATATAAAACTCCCACACCCAGTGTACATAATGTTGTCAAATTAATGTTTCTATGAGAACCTTAACTTTCAATATCCTGACTCTTATGTGCTTAACCCTTGTGAATTAAAAGTTCATTAGCATGTTTTTGGGCAATCAGTTTGTTTTCCTGTTTATTTAGAACACACTTCAATCATTAAGAAAAATCACATAACAAAGATTCAATTTTCCTTACTAATTTATCTGAATATTTTAAAAGCTACATACTTTAATTAACTGCTTACAGTATGGTAATGCATTCCTAGCACAATATGAGCACAGGATCACATGTTTGAGGGCAATTTCCAAGGCTGCTGACTTGTTTGGAGTAACCTAGCTGTCCCAAATTCTAGTGAACATGTTCGTGGTTGTGATTTTCTTGGGAGGAGCATCAGTACTTTTGGTTTACAGAGTGATTTTCCATCTCCATTTTGCACTTAGGGCCTCTGTGACTGAGTTCTTACCTCTGTGATGCATTGATGTCACCTGTGGCTGTTGACTCACCTGTTGCTGGCTGCCTACTTGGACTGAAAACTTGCTTACTTCAAGGTGATTTGAAGAAATTCTGCTCTACACTCTCAAATGTTGCAATCTCCATCTTTGATATCCTTTTCTCACTCTATTCTTCTTTCCTTCTTTTTTTAAACATATATTTTATTATAAAATTGTGGGGTACAGTTAAGGGTTAGGTATACAAATGTGCATTGTTCAGTCACCCTTGTTAATAAGGGGTGTCTCCCCATCCCCAGACAGATATTGACTACTGTTAGTCCCACCTCTCTTCCCCTCCTTACCCCCCCATAGTTTCCCACCACTGTCAGTCCTTTTTTTATAGTATTATAGTAGATGTTCAAGGTCTACTATATGAGTGAGAACATGTGATACTCAGATCTTTGTTTCTGTGAGAGATCACTCAGTATTATAGACTCTAGTTCCATCCAGTTTGCTGCGAAATTCATGATTTTGTTCTTTTTTATGGCTGCGTAGTATTCCATCATATACATGTACCACATTTTTTAAATCCACTCCTCTTGATGGACAGCATGGTTGGTTCCAGATTGTTGCTATTGTGAACAGTCCTGTGATAAACATTCCTGTGCAGGTATCTTTTTGATAGAGTGCTTTGAGTTCTTCAGGGTATATTCCCAGTAGGGGGATTGCAGGGTCATATGGGAGGTCGATATTTAGAGCTTTTAGAAATCACCACACTGCTTTCCACAGAGGTTGCACAAGTTTGCACTCCCACCAACAGTGTAAAAGTGTTCCCTTTTCCCCACACCCTTTCCATCATCTGTTATTTTTTGAGTTATTGATAATTGTCATTCAGTGTGGTTTTGATTTGCATCTCCTTGATGATTAGTGAGGTTGAACATTTCTTCATGTGTCTGTTGGCTGCTTGGATGTCTTCCTTTGAGAAGTGTCTGTTCATATCTTTTGCCCACTTTATAATGGGGTTGTTTGTTTTTTTCCTCTCAGCACGTTTGAGTTCCTTGTAGATCCATGATGTTAAGCCTTTGTTGGACCTGGAGTTGGTAAATACTTTTTCCCAATCTGCAGGCTGTCTCCCTGCTCTCTTGATGGTTTCTTTGACTTTGCAGTAGCTTGTCAGTTTAATGAGGTCCCACTTGTCTATCTTATCTCTTATGGCCTGTGGGTGTTGGGTTTTGTTCAGGAATTGGATGCCAGTTCCAATTTCCATAAGGATATGTCCTTCCTTTTCTAAGGTTCTTATGGTTTGAGGTTTTACATTTAGGTCTCTGATCCATTTAGAGTTAATTTTTGTGTATGGGGATAGATAGGGGTCTTGTTTGAGTCTTCTGCATGTGGTCAGCCAGTTTTCCCAGCACCATTTACTGAATATGTTCTCCTCTCCCCAGTGGTAGGTGGTGGAGTCTATTCTTCTTTCTAATTATGACCTCCAGTCTTTTGATCTCTTCTAATTTCCCTGATGTTCTTGAAACCTGGTTTGACTTGTGTTCCTAACTGTGAAAGGACTAGAAAACACCTAGTATCTCTTCCTTCCTTTTAGTTTCTCTGTACTATCTCCTGACTCATCTAAGTTCCCATGTTCATTATTGGCTATTTCCTTCATAGACTACAGCTGCTACAGAAAACCATAAGCAATCTTTGATAAAGTACTCTATGAATTCAGGTTATTTAATGTCAGTTTTATCCTATTGATGCTTGAGAACCTTTTTATGTGTCTTCTTGCCTCTCTGGTATATTCCCACCCTCTTCTAATACTTAACTACTTTGACTTTCTGTAGAAGACATAAATTCATTCTTTCTTGGTAAAGTAAGAGATGATATGAAGTCAAATTCTTTAAAATTTCCAAATTTCAATTTTCTGTCTCTACATTATCTTCATATTTTTTCTTTTCCTTCAAAATTTGCCCTTTATTAGAATTATCCAACCACCTTGTTAAGATGAATTTCTTCTTTGCTTTATTTCAGAATTTAGTTTGTATTATTTAATCAAAGATGTATAAACTGATATTTTAAATTTCCAAACAATTTTGTAAGGCTTATTATTTTTAAAAAAGTAGACCCTCATCACCACTTCCAACCCCTACACATACATACACACTCTCCCTTTGCCGAGAGGCAAACACTCTCAACTCTTTTTAGCTGATTCTTTTTTTTAACGTAAAAAATAATTTATTTAGGATGCCTTTTGATTTATTTGCTTTGGTAATTATTGTTTGATTTTCAAGTAAAGAAAGTGAGGACTTGTCTTTTTTTTTTTGTCTGTAATTGTACCCTCCTCACTCATACCACTTCTTCCTTTTCTTTTCCCATTTTTCTGATGGAACAAACTTGTATTTAGATTACTATTTCATGTTTACATTAATAATACTATGTAACTCTATTCCCAACTGAAGCTTGTAGTGTAGTGACTACTTTTCTTGTGAAAATTCATTATTGTAGATTTAATGTATTTTTATTTTCATTTTTCATACATTAATCACTAATTCAATTAGTAAACTCTCTCCTTGTTAGATAGATCTCTTTTCAGAATGTACAAATACATTTCGTACTTTAGCAGGTTTATCCCTTGAAGAAATCTCTCCTGGAGCTTTCTGATGTGCTTTAATCTGGACTGTTTTAACCTACCACAGCTGCCATTTTGGAATTATTTTTTGCCG